AAAAAAAAAAAAAAATAGCCAGAAGTGGAACTGTGGTAGAATGCTAGTCTTGAGCAAAAAAGATCTGGGGACAGACAGTACCTAAACCCTGAGTACTGGCACAAAAATAAACAATAACCAAAGCAACCAAATGAATGTACTATGCAGAGGGCAAATCTTGAGAATCTAAAACTCTCTCTCTTTTTGCCCAGTGTCTAATATTAATTAATAGTTAATTCCACAGTAATGACTCAACAGCAGTACAGTGGTAGTGATGAGAGAGGAGACATGGAGGAGAGTATGGTGAACAATGACATTCACTTCATGAAGTTGCTCTCCTTCCTCCAATCCCACAAAGTCTTGGGCCTATGGGTTCACACTTTTCTTTTCTTTTCTTCTTTTTTTTTTTGGTCAGTCATGAGGCTTGAACCCAAGGCCTGGATGCTGTCCCTGAGCTTTTGTTTTTTAGCTTAAGGTTAGTGCTCTACCACTTTGAGCCACAATGCCACTTCCAGTTTTCTGGTAGTTAATTGGAGATAGAAGTCTCACAGACTTTCCTGCCTGGGCTTGGCTTTGAACTGTGATCCTCAGATCTCAGCCTCCTGATTAGCTAGAATTATAGGCATGAGCTACTAGTGCTTGGCTGGTTTGCACTTTTTCTTTCACCTGAGTGGCAGATTAGGGATTTTTACCAAATGAAAATTAAACTGGTTTCAGTTTCACTTAGGACTCAGGAATTATGATTCAGGTTTAAGTCATAAAGTAAGGTGAACATACTTGATGTCACTAAACTGGACATTTGAACATGGTGAATTTTATGCTGTGTACTCTTTTTTTTTTGTAGGTCATGGGCCTGAACTATGGGACTAGGCGCTGTCCCTGAACTGTTCAGCTCAAGGCTAGTGCCCTACCACTTGAGCCACAGCGCCACTTCTGGCTTTTTCTGCTTATGTGGTACTGAGGAATCCAATCCAGGGCCTCATGCATGCAAGGCAAGCACTCTACCACTGAGCCACCTTCCCAGCCAGGTTGTGTACTCTTAAAAATTAAAAAAAAAAAAAAAAGAGGAAGTGGCACTGTGGCTCAAGTGGTGGAGGGCTTGCCTTCACCTGAAGAGTGCAGGGACAGCGCCCAAGCCAAGAGTTCAAGCCCCAACCGACCAAAAACAACAACAAAAAAAGATTCAGGTTTTTTTCCTCAGTTCTTCAGAGTTTCTAGAACAGTCTGATTTGACTTCCATTCAAGCTGATACATATTTTCTATTGCTTTCAAAGCTCTTTTGATGAGCTCCTACTTTACTGCAATGCTATTCTTTTGATTAGAGCTTCAGAAAATTTGTGTAGTTTGCTATGGATTCTGATAAACAAATACATTTGAATCATTTAAAAATATTTATATTGCTGGGTAGCTCATGTCTATAATCCTAGCTACTAAGGAAGCTGAGATCTGAGGCTCACAGTTTAAAGCCAGACCCAGGAAAAAAAAATCCATGAGACTCTTAACTCTAATTAACTGCCCAAAGCTAAAAGTAACAGAGCACTTGCATTGAGTAAAACAGCTCAATGACAGTACCCAGGCCCTGAGTTCAAGTTCTAGGACTGGCACAAAACAAAATATTCTGTTTGGGGCTGGGAAGGTGGCTCAGTGGTAGAGCGCTTGCCTTGCATGCATGAGGCCCTGGGTTCGATTCCTCAGCACCACATAAGCAGGAAAAAAAGAGCTGGAAGTGGCACTGTGGCTCAAATGGTAGAGCGCTAGCCTTGAGCTGAAGAGCTGAGGGACAGCACCCAGGACCAGAATTCAGGCCCTATGACCGGACCAAAAAAAAAATTCTGTTTTCACTTATATGTGAAAACTAGACCTAAAAGACATACACATTCATGGACATGTATATACATGTACATAATTATTTATGTGGATAAACAAAAAAGAAATCAAACTAAAGAACTACTTAGGAGGAGAAAGGGGAAGGGAAAAAAATAAGAGGGTGAATTATTTTATGAAACATTAAAAGTATGTGTATACAATTAAAAAAAAAAGAACCTCGGGGAAGGTAGGGAGGGAAGGGATGGTAGGAGGAAAACAATGGAGGGGGTAACAATGCTCAATAGGAAGTGTACTCATTACCTTGCTCATGTAACTGTAACCCTCTGTATAGTATCTTTACAATAAAAAATTTAAAAAAAATATGTGTATATACATATAAAAAGCCGGGCACTGGGGCTGGGAAGGTAGCTCAGTGGTAGAGCACTTGCCTTGCATGCCTGAGGCCCTGGGTTTGATTCCTCA